CATTTTTGTACCACCACTTCCTTATCTATAAATTAGCTTTTTGCTCAAGAAAATGTGATTGGTTGCCAGCCAGTATTCTAGGTTATACCCCAGTAAAGAAAAACAGTTCAGTTGAATCAATGACGGATTTTACAGAAGCAATCGGTGGTCTTCATCTCTCTGATTTCCTAAACAAAGGAAGAGTTCAGCTTAACAGTGATACCTTCTCTATTTCTTCTCGCTTCTATATACAAAGCTGAATACAGAATTTTTAATTTGAATTTTTAATCAAATATCCCTTTTGCACAACTTATCAAGCAGCATATGAGACCATGTCCCATTCTGAATTCTTTATTTTAACACATTTAGAGAAAGTACACTCTGAAGTTCATCCATTCAGAAATACTGGTAAACATTCATGAGCTATCAGTTTATTTCTATCATATGAAAATGGGCAGGTTTTACAAAATGGGATTTAAAATCTAACTTATTATGTGCCTTCAACCCTATTCAGAATTAAGTGAGGAACTAACACTGAGTTATTCCCATGTTCCCAGTCCCATGCTAGCTAATTTACATCAATGACCTCATCAAATTGGTAGTGTCACTCTCGTTTTCCATAGAAACTTAAAACGTATTAGAATCTATAACAGGGAAATGAACTCATCTTAAAATCAATTTATCATCTGATTGATTATGCTGAGAAAAACTGCTGTGAGTAAAATGCAGCTCATGCAGATATGTGCACTGGTGGTGTGACATTCTTTGGGTTTATGCGTTTAGGATTCTAAGGAAATATCTTTCTCAGAAGTCTAGTTCTACAACTGAAGGTTCTAAACATTTACAGAAGAAAGGGAGTAGTGTTAACAAGGAGATAAAAACTCATAAAAGAAGATACTGTGGATTAAAAATACTGCCTGCCGTATCAGTAAACAAGGATGCTGTGGCCATCAAGTCATCAGCCACTGCCACCACTTGTGACAGTGAGCGAAGGGAACTCAGGATGCAGACAAGCTGGCAGCCTGGCCTCTGCGGCCACCCCCAGTGGTGCACCTTGAGGGCACTCAGGATGTGGAAGAAAAGGACACCGGCCCTAGATGGCTAGGTGTGTATCAAAGGAATGACTTCAATGAGCCCAGACCTTTGCACCTTCCTAGACATAGAAAAGTGCTAAATTCCTTAACTTAAGATATCTGATTTTCTTTAATCAACAGTAATCTTTATTTATTTATCTTTGTTTTTGCAGGGAAGAGGTAATTAGGTTCACCTATTTATTTAGTTTTTTGATGGAGGTGCTGGGGATTGAACCCAGGACCTCATGCATGCTGAGCATGCGCTCTACCACTTGAGCTATACGCTCCCCACAACAGTAACCTTTCAATGTTCCAACCACCTGGTCTTTGTGGCAGACACTCCTACACAGCTTGGCTCCTCCCCGGCCTCTCTGCAGCAGTCCCTCACAGCAATCTGAGAGGCTGTCACCCCAGGCTGAAGTCCTCAGGATAAAAGTCTCAACCTTTGGGTTGTGCTTTTTTGTTTTCCAGTCGACACAGGCCGAAAGCTTCTGACTGGTAAATACTGAGGCTTATAATTATGGTTAAAAGTTGGAAGTTCTGGGCTCGTTTCTGATTTCCTTTGGTCCGCCTGCCACAGTCTGCGCTGTAAACCACGACCAAGCCCAGGCACTCTATGAGCTCTCGGGGAGGCCATAGAAAGCCCCCCCTCTGTGACCCTGAGACCTATCCTCCCCCGTGGAAGAGGGGCTTGAAAACCATTCAGGCTTTTAAAACTTCACTTAGGAATTAGGAAGACAGCAGGAATTCTCCCTTGAGCTACAGTTTATTTATGTGGTTTATCTGACATCAGAACCAGCAAAGACACATAAGTACATCTTTGATGTAGTGGCAGACTATTAAGAAATGAATCCTTTTCCCATGGTGTTAAGTAGCTGACACAGGGGAGAAGGTCCCCACGCAGAGTGGATCAGGGGCATATATGAATAACTACAAAAACACACCTTTTCATCACGAACAACTCTTAGGTTCCTATTTATTTGTGGACCATCTCATGAAGGGAGGCTGAGGAATGAGGTGGGAAAAAGATGGGTCCAGTATCAGAAGACCTAGCTGGCAGGTGACCCTGGATAAGTCACTTACTGTCTTGGAACTGGCATTTTCTTAGCAGTGAAAAGGCAATAATAATAGCCAAAACGTACAGGGCTTTGCCAAGCAAATTAAACAATGGGTGGGAAAAGGCTCTATAATTTCCAAAGCGCTTCATAAATGTAAAATTTATTATTCATATTCTGGCTGCTGTGATGAGGTGCAAGGGACCGGAGAGAAAATTATCATCTTTTTGAAGCTTACAATTAAAATGAGAACTCACAACGCATAGAACTAAATACATAAGTGGCGACTTATTAACAGCCACTATTCCTATGACTGGTCTGTGCTCAAAATATTTGTTAAAAGGAAATAAAAATAGTGTAGTAGGCGGTGGCTACTACATATGTGGTGGCTCTGAATAGGGGTGCAGAGGATACAGTGCGGAGAAATGTCCAGAAAAGCTTTCTGGAGGGGATGCATTTAAGTAGGTTTTTTGCTTTTTAATTGGAGGTACCCAGGATTGAACCCACGACCTCATGCATGCTAAGCACGCGCTCTACCACTGAGCTAACCCACCCCCAAGTAGGTTTTATAAGACGCGATGTGGCGATGTGGCACAGTGGTTATGAGCCTGGATCAGCTTGAAGTCCCTGCTCCCTTGTGTAGTAGCTGTGTCCCTAGGGGAAAGTCATGTGAACTCTCTAAATTAATACCTTTACTTGCCTATAAAATGGGGATGACAGTATTTACTCTACAGGTTTACTCAAGTTCTAGGGGAAATTCTGTAAATAAAGGGTTTTAACACAGTGCTTTTCTTGAGGCAAATGCTTTAAAAATGGTGGCTTTTGTGGTTACCACCATGCTATAGCTCACCACAGCTGAATGACAGGAAAGCATTATGCTCTAATGATGATAAGGGAGGCGAGAGATCACTACTTCATTTACATGATCATGGCAGGTGTGGGGAATTGCCAGGATCTGATTAAACAGAAAGGAAAGGGAAGGAAAAAATGAGAAATTCGAAAAAGGAGTTGGAGTTTTTCAAGGATGCCAAAAAGCAGTGAGAATCGCGGAGGCCAGTAGCTATTAAAGCAGAGCCCGCTTCATTGATCAGTCTTAAATTCCGCTTTGTATTCAAAATACAAATCACATCCAGCTTTCACCAAGTAGATGAGACAGTTTTACGGTCTTAAGTGAACATCAAGTCAACATGATTAACCTCTTGAGGAGAGAAAAGGGCTGGTAGTGACAAACTCTTGAGCTTTCCTCTTTAGAGATTCCTTTGTTACAACTTTAATTAAGAAAAGGTCAAAGAAGAGTGGCAGAAATAACCCGCGTGTGCTTAGATTATGGGGGAGGGGACACGGTGTAGATCACATCACTGCCTTCAGACATGATTGAATCTTTATCGACTATATCCTTTGAAGATTACTGATACAATCTTTTTTTTTGATAATTTAGTATTTAGCTCTATTGTTTCAAGCACCATATAACATCAGGGAACCAAACTCATTGGGAATTAGATTAAAACAATCACTCTTTCCCTCTTGTAGTTTTGAGAGGCTGAGATGTGAGAAAGAAGAACCGTTTGATCGACAAGCTTGGAAAATCTGAACATAGCGATGGGCTGAGCTGAAGAGTGCATTTGTATCTTCTGAAAGGGAAGGCTATAGTATAAAATTAAGCCAATATCCTTGTCATCTGTATTTAAAAGATACAAATGAAGATAAACATGTAACTAGTAAAACAAATAGATGTTCATCAATGTTATCATCTAAAATCATCTCATGTACTAATCTTGCAAAAAATCGCTCTAAGGTATCAGAAGCAGGAATAGGAAGGAAGTTTGGAAACAGTCAAGGGGAGAAAGTTCTAGAAACAAAGAAGTGGGTCACAAGATCAGTGGCGAGGGCAATCAGCAATGAACATTTGAAAGATGCTTTCTGTGATATAGGAGAGGAAAGGGGACCAATTTTAAAGGCAGTTTTACCCACTGGATCATTTAATAGTTAAAACTGCAAAAAAATCCATAGGCTCTTAGTTCAGAGAAGATTAGGGTTATTAAGCAAAAGCGAACATTTCTAAGGAACTGGTTTGCTAAACATGTTTATAAAACAGTTTCCTAAACTAGGGTTAAAAACACAGGATGATGATACAGTCTGTCCACTTATTTTCATTTAGATTGAAAATGTACACTTATTATCAAACTAAGTAACTTTAACCAATGGGAGGAATTGCCTATGTCACAATTAAAATAGAAAGGGAAAACCTTCATGAATGCCTTTATCCTAATACATAGGGTTATCTGAATTCACATATTTAACACATCTGGAAGTATGGTTTGCCCTATTGTGGGATTTGGAAGCAGGCTTTATCAGGATGGCTACCCAGAAACATTCGTAAGAGAAGAGCTGAAAGACAGTTTCTCCCAGTTATCATTGTTGGGGAAAAGATTTCCAAGGTATGAGCCCATCCAATCACTTTTCCTCTTTTCCACTTCTATCTTAAGGGAATGTAGCAGTTTCCCAAATCAGTGGAAACACACCAGTCCTTGGAATAAGACACCCTCTTGCGCCACCACTGGGCGGTAGTTTGACATGGCGCATGGAAGGCAGAACCAACCGGTGGCACCCAGAGTCCTGCGTCCACCTAGATCCTAACACTTAGCGCGGTACCCATTTACACCAGTTGTCTCTTTAGCTAAGATATAAACAAGGATGTGAATTCTATGATACATTAACGGGAAGCATCTAAACTAACAGCACAAAAGACATCTTAGTGGAATTGGTTAAAAAAAAAAGTGCCTTGGTGGCACCTCTGGCATCCAATGACTTTGCCCCTTTGCTGAGACTGCTTGTCAAGAGCTCACACTGTTCCCCTCTCTCAGGACAGTCAAGCAGCCAAACCTGCACTAACCATGATGGGTTGTTCCGGAGCATGTTGACATATAACCCAATGAGAACATGTTCGTCGGCCAGCCTGTCTGCCACGTTCAGGCTGTACTGTATCCTGAAACAGGGCGGGAGGAGAGAAAGGGTGCCGTTAGGACAGGTGGACAGGACCAAGTGGAACGGGTAGGAGTGAGTTTGCGGGAGAAAGGACATTCAGAAAACCAAGCAAAGTAAAGGGAAACTAAGTGATGGTCTATGGAAAAAAAAACCCAAAAACCCACAAGCAAAATCCAAGCAAGGGAATTCACAATTCCATTTCACCATCTTTACAAAAAATTAAAGATTTCCACTTAGGGAGAGTAACTTTTAAGAAAACAGATTCGCATTCTTCAAACCACTAAGGCCAAGAAATTTATCAGTACAGTAAATGCACTGAAATCGGCTGCAAGCAAAGATTATCCTTTGGAAAACCAAATCTGAAGCTTAGTCATTTAAAAAAAAAAAAGAAAGGAAATCAGGGAAGGTAACAACACAGATGTGCCTGCTCAAAATAACTATTCGGTGCTGTTAATGGGGTTATGGCAGAGCCGCTGTGACGACATCAAAGACGGTCTTTCAAACACAAAGCATTTTTAACACAAGAAAACCCGCATTTTTAGTTCAGTTAATTCAGGACTCGAGCACACTCTGGCTTGAACTTACCCTCTGCCCTTCAGCAAAGCTGGAGCAGCCCTAGCCAGCAGTTTGCTCTGCTCTACTTCACTGTCCTTGGGAGAAGAGCTGGTTAATAAGATGGGAAAGCCAAGAAGAGCGTAAACACGGCAATGCATTCAAGAAGAGACACTGGCAACACAAACTCCCGTCTACCTCCGCGCTCCACTTGGACAGCTCTTTCAGTATTTTGAAACGTTCAAGATGTTTCCAGATTTCCACAGAGTTGGACTAGGAGTAGAAACCTGGGCCGAGAACCACAGTTACAACTACACAAGCCACCTCGATCCCAGATTTGCCCTCTGCTATTTGCTCAAATCGATGGCATATGCCGAGACACAGTGAAAATTCCGTCAGCGTCTGTTACAGGCCA